TCTCTCCCCCCTCCCTCTCTTTCTTTCTCATTCTTTCTCTCTCTATCTCTCTCTTTCTAATTTTCTTCCTTTCTTTCTTTCTCTTTCGTTCTCTCTTTCTCTCTCCCCCTCCCTCTCTTTCTTTCTTTTTTTCTTTCTTTCTTTCTCTCTCTCTTTCTCACTCTCTCACACTCTCTCTCTCTCTCCCACACTCTCCATCTCTCTTCCCTTTGCTCTAGTCCTAATGCTTAAGTGGCGTCATGCTTTGGAAATTGAATCGGTCCATTAGATCTCCCCATAGGCTTCTCTGTATCCGGTCCCTTGGCTCTGACTGCAACAGAATTAAACAAGGGAAAAATAATGCAAAAAATGGTTTTAAAGCAGCAATTCATCTGGCTTCAGCTCAAAATAGATTTGATCATTTGAGTTTTATTGTTGTGATCATGCTTAAGGGTGATTTGGAGATGGTTGATTTTATTTCTGTGCAGTTTCTCAATTTGAGGCCTGGTGAAAATGCAGAATTACAATACATGGGGTGTGCAGTGCTGCACTTCCTGTGGTTTGGGTTTGAGTTGTGTTCTATAGCGATTCAACTAAGCTCAAAGTACAGCAATAAAGAATGTACACAGGACAACTCCTGGCAAATTTAGGGCCTTCATTTATTTTTTTACTTTTTATATTCTTTGAGAAATAGGTAAGGTTAATTTTGAACCATGTGTGATTTCAGCATCCCCAGCAGAAAGGGGCGAACACAAGACCAGTCACCCTGATGGGTCTTTATTACAGGAAGCTCCTGCACAGAAGCAAAGTATCATGCTGTATTACTGAACAGATCTGAAAGAAATACACAAAGCACACCAAGATTCAAGTAAGAATATACATGCCTCTTGTATTTAGTTACTTGTTGCTTAACCCGGAGATCCGCTTTAAAGGAGAACTATAGGGTAACCTTATTTTCCCATAGTTCTCTTTAGGGTCACGGGAGGACATATACTAACATCCTCCTGCGACCTAAAACTGAGAGTTTAAATAAAGCCCTTCCATGTGCACCTTGCTTAGAGCTGGTAACAAATTGATGAGTGCGTTTGCCATTTGTTTTGCTAAAACCGAGAGTGCCGCAGCCGGGACAGATCCCGACAATATACCTGTCTGTTTCCAAATCCAACTTAAAATTACATGGTGCAAAGGCCTTATCGCTTTCAGCTTCAACAATGTATCTAGAGGCAGAGCCACCTATGCCCACCCCCTCCCCTGTATGCTCTTCCAGTGAGTGCTAGAAGATCGGAGAGGGGGAATCCCTGCGGGGAGCGGTGACTGTCAGTCACCGCTCCCCGCAGGGATTCCCCCTCTCCGATCTTCTAGCACTCACTGGAAGAGCATACAGGGGAGGGGG